AAAAAGACTCGACCAGGAGAGTCCAGACTGGCATTCGATCAATGGAGTCTCGATGTAGAGACACCACTCAGCATGAGCAGACCCAGTGTGACGCTAACCTTTCCCTCTATCTCGCTGCTATTTCTTTTTCTTGTCCGAATAAATGCTCCACACCACCACTACTTCAAATTTGTTATAGAGGTGACAAAAATAACTATTCTATTAGAAACACGTCAAACGGGATGGTCACAGCAATGGCGCGTTGCCTGAGCTAATCACGGAAGCCGAATTTCACTTACTCTACCGCTTCCAGCCGGAGACACCACCCCACGACCCAAGAGCAGCAGGATAGATTGATGATTTATTGATTTATGGGGTTTAACATCCCAAAACCACCTTATGATCATGATAGACGCCGTAGTGGAGAGCTCCGGAAATTTCAACCACCTGGGGTTCTTCAACGTGCACCCAAATCTGAGCACACGGGCCTACAAACAACATTTCCACCTCCATTGAAATGCAGCCACTGCAGCCGGGATTTGATCCCGTGACCTGCGGGTAAGCAGCCGAGTACCTTAGCCGCTAGACCACCACGGCAGGGCAGTCTGATAGTGTTGGAGAAAAAAATACGCGTTCTTGCAGTCTCCTTCACGCTTTTGATGGTAGCGCTGTTCGTTGTAATTCTGCCAGCCTATCGTCATGGGCTTTTTGATGGCGAGTTCGGGTCCTGTTTTTTTTTCTTCCTTCTTATCCGATTGTAATTATTTTGCAGACGTATATCCGTTATAAAGTTTTTGGTAAGCCCCAGAATAAAACATCTGTGTAAATCGTGTATTAAAACAAAAATCTGAGTCCTAATGACGGTGTCCACGAAAACATCAGACTACGAATAGCAAAATTGACGACTCTGTAATATAGCTTCAAGGCAATCCTGCAAGGCTATGTGACATACAGGGTTTTTCGGACCTGCATTCATGCAATTGAAACATATAAATTATATGATTATATAATTATATGATAAATTATATATAGAGTGCTTTAATATCCTGCACTCTTTCACACTCTCTTCATTTAGACAAGAATCTAAGCACACCATCTGTTTAGTGTATTGAGCCCCTTATACAATATTTCTATACCAGATGCTTACGAGAATGTAGGACAAGACCAGATGGTGTGCCCAAATCAGGAAAGGCCGAACAACGTGGTTTTATAAAAGCCTATACAGAACTGCAGGTATGCGATGCCACAATAATAATTTAAAACTACTGCACTAAGTTGCTTCAATTACCTAAGAAATAAAGTACGGTTTTCAAAAGATTTACTACCGAGAAATGAAAAGATCGATCCTGAAAAATTGAGAAGGATTTCATCATAGCTCATTAGAGCAGCGTCTTACTGTAATCACTGATATCGTAAAAACACTCGTGCCTGGAGCCGCACTTTTTCGTCAAAAAGACCATGGTAAAGCTTTCGAGCAGTATCAAAGTCTGCAATACTCACAACTAGCGTCACATACTGATTGATATGTGGGGTTTACCGTGCCAACACCACCATATGATTATGAGAGACGCCGTAGTGGAGGGCTCTGGAAATTTAGACCACCTGGGGTTCTTTAACGTGCACCCAAATCTGAGCACACGGGCCTACAACATTTCCGCCTCCATCGGAAATGCAGCCGCCGCAGCCGGGATTCGAACCCGCGCCCAGTGAATCAGCAGCCGAGTACCTTAGCCACTAGACCACTGCGGCGGGGCCTAGCGTCACATACTGGCCAGCCGGTTGTGTAATGGGTTTCTCGCAACGCATCATCCCTTTATTCAGGGAGTTGATGAACTCGCCCTCTGCAAACAAGGTGCATGATAAATAGTTTATTATTGATGGAAATGAATGCCAACCATAAACAGAAAGGCATCACGCACAGCTCTTAAAGCATCTGCGTTGACATGCAGCTGGAGTCAGCACTTGATTCTAGATCAGAAAACCAAACTTTTTCTATAATTAACCAGTAACGGACATAGTGCCCTGTATTTATAGACAAAGTCTTTTTGTAAAGAAAACGGAATTGGCTCTTAAAGGAGAGTGCCACATCACGGTAAACTGAACGTGATGTCGCACTTGAAATAATATATATAAACGTTCTGACCACTTATCCTTATCCACATCAACGCATTTTGTCATGACACTCGCAGTGTTGTCATAGGATACTCAAGGCATTTATTCTGTTTTGCTTGTTGTTAGCTTATCAAGTAAATCACTCTTTATGTTGAAGTAATGTTACCCATTTTCTTTTTTTATTTCACTTCTATTTTATTTATAGTAAAATAAATAAATTATTGAAAAAATAGATTTTGAAGGATTTGAAAGGCTATCTTAGCGATCAAATAAAAGGATCTGATTTCACAAAATTCTAAACTATAACAAACAAACAAAAAACAAGTGTAGCTTGAACTAAGCTCAATGCACAGCGAAGATAATCCATTTCTATCTGACTCAAACCATACTAAGTGATGCCAACTGTTAAGTTATATGAACTAAAGCAAAACATTGCCACCAAGTTACAAAAAATTCAGTTTCACAACAAGGGAGAAGCAATAAATGCGACAGCGACAAAATTGTATATACAAAGGCTGGCAGTTAGCTCTTTTGGGTACAATATTGCTTAGCTCTTCGATGCGCTGTTGTGAAATGTTCTTTTCGCACTGTCTCCTCACGTTGAGAGCGTAGCAAGTAGACGGGTTTACGAATCATTAGCGCTAATACCTGCCTAGATTGGTTTGTGAGCCAATAGCACTAATACCTGCCTAGATTGCACGCACGCCAGCGATCACGACCATGCCCTCAGAATCATTGTTCGAAAAATCACATTCTTGACGGAACCAAAACTATTACCGTTTCGATGAAACCAAAAACATATTTCAGCCACGTTTTCTGGCCCGGGGCTTGGTGGCAGCGGCGCTGTTCGGCGCTCATAAACAAGTTTCAAGCTGCACGGGTGGTTCAGCGTAGGCGCACAATGACTGACATCGGTGCCATTGTGCAACTGTTGCAACCCTGGAAAGTTTCTGCACATTTAAACTACAGTCACTAAATACCATACCCTATATTTTCCTTGAAATCATTGCCTGTTAGTGCTCATTCACACGATCAACTCCTGGTTTAATTATACGTTTCAGCCACGCAATATGGGCACGTGTACATTCCGTAGGTGTTTAGTCTTTCGGCACCAAAACGTGTCGCAAATATACATGCACTTGCTCAATCAACAGTTTTAGCTAATACTTGAACATTTCTTGCGACTCCTTATCTGTCGTCACTGTATAGGAATTTCTTTCAAAAGCACGTTCAAGCACCGGCTTGGTTCTGTCATAGACCATTTTTATTCCCCCACAGCAATGAAAGCATGTGCTTGATTTCATTGCAAAACCGGAGTTCGATTTGTTATATTCAACGTCCCATGGGCTGTAATCGCTACGACGTGGGCACTAGAACGAACGGCTTCAGGTATCCTATTTATGAAAGAACTATACCTTCACATTACTAGAACACTTACTGTTCTTCGTCACGTGTTGCCCAAGATCCCTTTCTATGTCAAAAGGATCTGCAAACAAAATAGGCGACAAGATTATATTTCAGCAACAACCAGCCATGCGATCACTCGCGCTCTCAAATTGATCTAACTTGCACCTCCTCAACCGTTGACTAGTCCAGGACTGCTTTGAACATCATTATGGGATACGAAACAGCAACAGCTGTTTTGGCATCCTCAAAAGCCTACCATCAAAACGCAAGGGGCAGGTACAGTGTCATCGGCTTCACAAAATTCTGACGGAGCGCAGTTTGTTGTTTGTTAGTGCATTGTTCTCTGAAACTTCCCTGCACGACACACCCGTGCCTTTACTGCTAGTCGAGTTCACAGAGAAAAGAAGCTCTGTCATAAATGCAAAAATAAAGCAATTGAGTGTTTCTCGTAACGGTATTTCCAGGTGTGAATATGGGAGGCGCCCACTTTTCTAAATTCAGCTTCCCGGAGGCCGTCACTCTGAAAAACAGTGCATAGCCATAAGCTTTGCGCCTTAAATATGCCACCGAAGATCTAGTCGAGTGACGGAGTCGGACAGAGTTGGCGCCGCCGTTCACACTATTTGAAAAGGAAAGAGGGGGGAGGGGGGTTGAGGCAGCTTCGCCTGGTCGGTCCAACTCCCCTCCGTTCGCAGGCCTATGCGTCACGACACATTTCGCTTGAAGCCGGTTCATGACAGCGATAAGCAGTCACAACGGTTATTGTTTTTGTGGCCCTTAGCAAAACGTGCTCATCGCAAAGCCACCACCATCGCTGCGGCCCTGCCAAGAGCAGCACAGTGGGGCGAATGCTATGGTCGTTCGCACACGGAACGTTAGAGAGCACTAGAATCATTGTGTGCACTGGTGCATGAGTGGGTTTGTCATGTGGTATTTTTTGTAATTTGCGGGTATTCGCAATTTGCAGAAAAACACTAATACCTAACACATATGAAGTTCAGAACCATATATTGGGGTGTTTTATAAACCAATGTACAACTTTCTCATTGAAATTCTTTATCGATCTTCGTTTTTTCAGAAGTTATTTGCTTAAACATATAATTATGCAATATTTGAAAACACAAAAAAATTGTCCAACTCCAGGCAACAGTGAGCAACATGCATTTGGTCGCGTCGTAATTTCGTGTTCCGGCATACTTTTAAACTCTGGCTAAAATTACGTGGGACACCCTGTATATTAAAAATGACGTGGAAGCGGCGATGACACGTCCTCCGTTATCTCGCACGCTGTAGGTAGCTCCAAGATATAGCTGTCAGCACCTGTGTGGCTTTATGTGGCAATAATCACTGAGTCCCGATTTGAAACTAAGAACGACTTGCTGACTCAACACTTCCTTGCTGTCTCACTGAGTGAGAGCCTACCTTCGATAGCCATGAACTCCGATTGCCATCTCTTCTGCAGTCTCGTCACAGGTGTCTTCGCTCTAATGCTCACAACATACTTTTTTATGTTGAACTCTGCATAATAACGTAGGAGGCCAACCCACAGCTCCCCGACTGACTGATGGTTTTGTCCTTTGCCACTCCAGACTGATTCCTGCAACAGGAAAATGAACTTAAACAGCTGCACTTGCTTGACGTCACGAGCACTGGCTAAACAGTGGAGCTGGTGGCATCATATTGTTATTTAATTTATTGAGTTTATTGTATAGCAGTTATGCCACAGCCTGCCTACACAATTGTTCGGTCTTAATTTCCTAAGTCAAGAAACAATTTTCGCAACACGTGCAACGTACAGTTTTTCTATATTGTTCTATCTACTCACCAATGAACATATACCTAGAGTTCCCCCTGGATGGTAATCAGAAACTACATGGCTATATCAACCTTGCTTCACCCAACATTCCAGTTATATGAAGCTTCATGTTTTGTGCATCGGAATGGAGTACAGAGATTTTTCCAAATGCGGTGGCGCATACTTTAATTCAGATTGATTTGATTGATATGTAGGGTTTAACGTCCCAAAACCACCATATGATTACGAGAAACACTGTAGTGAAGGACTCAGGAAATTTTGACCCCCTGGGTTCTTTAAAGTGCACTAATATCTGAGCACACGAGCGTGTAGTATTTCTGCCTCTATCGGAAATGCAGCTGCCACAGCCGGGATTTGATCCCGCGGCCTGCCGGTCTACTTAAAAGTCAGGTTACTGGGCTAGTTGGTAATTGATACTGAAGAGCTTTTTTGCTTCGTTTATCTGCAGTGTCAATAAACAAGTAGTCTCATTAGCTGCACACTGATTGCGTGATGCTGTATTGGGATTCTGCGTTCCAACCTCGACCTAGAACAGCTCTGCCTTTCTTTAATACCAATTGCACTGGTGGATTGACTTCTCGGCTGTTAGCTCAATGATTTTACGGAATATAACAGAAAAACAAAAAACCCATGGTTGTCCCTCTCAGAATATTTCTTTACTCAGCTATACCGTACCGCCCAAGTTGGCTGATTAAGTAAACCAGATTGCAAAAGTTGCCATCAAGCAAGCACTCAAACTTGGTTGGGTGGGACATGGGAAGTTGAACATCGCACCCTATTCATCTTTCACCTTTTAGTTATCTCTGAGTTGCTGACCTGCGCTCAGAATGAACCCCATATATTAGGCACTTGAGTACTGCATTATTATGCATGGGAGAGTAATGCCACACGGCCCACGGTACGACAACAAGCCTTTAAATTAACATGCACGTGGTACACTTGGCACCACCTCACTTTTTCGTGGGAGGAAATGAAACCAAAATACGATCGTAGATTAGGACTGGCTGAACCATGACAAAAACCTTCAGTTTTTCATGTCACAGATATGCACACTATTCAGTTAAATATAGCGAGATGCTCTTTCACAAAGTGTTCTCAATATCAAGAAATCAGGCACCTGGTACGACCATTCGCAGTGTGGTTGCTTGCGACATCTAAAAATAGAGTAGGCGATCTAGCTCATTTTTGACGCTAGATTGCCAAGTTCCTATTGCAAAGAAAGCAATAATATTGAACCAGAATGTTCAGGTGAATAACCAATCGAAGGGCTTCAAAACATCCTTAGGTTTTATTTTTTTCCCTGTTCTGTCGGCGGAGACACGATGGTCATTCTTGGCCTCGATTCAGAAAGGGTCTTCAACCAAGTGGCTCATACGTATATGTACTCTAGACGCGATCAGGTTGGAGGGCCACAAATCACACTGGAAGATACATATTAGGGTGTTAACATCAGCCAGATGCGAAGTCTTCACGGTTTATTCTCTCTATGCGCTACAGGTAAAGTGATTGAAGCTAACCATAACCACGGTTGTACTCTAGATAGGCAGGAGAAACCCAATGAACTCTGTTGACTTGAGATATTGTCCATTGCGGTAGGGCTGGCTTCATGATGCTGCACGACGAACGTTAAAATCGGAGTGCAATATTTTGTGTTGTCTGGCTCTGATATGTGGAGAACGCTGATAGTGCACACCATAAGAACAAAAGTGTCCCTTCCGCTGAGCCTCAAAATCACGTTAGTACTCCTTTAAGAACATGCTCCGAAAGTAGCCGTCTTTACAGCACCACACAGACTGCAGATTAACGGAGGAAGCAACTGCTTCATGTGAAGATCCACGACTGGTTTGGTCAACTGCGGGATGTCAGAACACTTACCAATTCATCAATGTTGTTAAAGAAATAGACCTTGCACCCATAGACGAGTTTTGGCTCCTGTTGACCCAACTGCAATGCAGAAGATTGTCGCCCTAGAACATCACACAACTCAGCACTGAATATCTTGGTTGGAAAACGCACAAAAAAGAACAAGACAGAGCAAGCGGTGGGGGCAAGATAGGCAATTCGTAGCATCAACAACCCGACCACCAAATATCTGCGTCATAGTAGAAACAATATTATTTAAAGCTTGCACATCTGTAATATTGATGTCATGCGGTCACTTCAGACCTTGATCGGGCTTTATTCGAATGGAATTTCTTGAACGTGATTGGCACCTTTGCACAAGTTCCGGTAGGAAGCTAATCACTGTTGAAAAATGTCACGTTGATTCGGCTTAATGGTGACCACAATTGCACTATGTGGCGCATAGCACACCGCCATGGGCATCAGAGAATCTGAGCATGTGACCTGGATGTTTTGATCAATTTATTTCAAAAAGTATTAACAGTTGTCATCAACAATTCAATAAACTTGTTACAAAAATTCAAAGGTTGTATTTGAAAACGAGACACAAAAATGTATTACCAAAAAAATACCTCCAGGATCATGATCACTTTTTTACAGGTCTTCTGAATCATCAAGCCGTGATTAGGATCGAATTTCTCTGCTGCACTTGACTGTCGGCTTATTGTGCAAAACAACCCCAATCCACATCGAGAATCCATCTTGTCATGTCCGACAGACATGAAATGGTGCTCAATGACTGTCACAAGCATATAACACCTAGAAATACACTATCCTGTAGAATTTGCCCACAGCACTAAGCCAACAGTGCTTCACATGAACATATGCGTAAAAAAAGCTAACTATTCGATGCAAAAGCAACATTCAGAGAAAAATACAAACGTAATACAGGCAAACACTTAGCAGACTAAAGAAAATACTATGTGCTCATCAAGTTCAAATGTAGAAATAACAATAAAAAATTTAACGAATGTGGGCGAAAGGTCATCAATTGCTATTTTCTCACGTGAAAGTAGTTTTTAACCATTCAACTCTCTGCTTTCTTGTTCATATTTTCGTTTTGGTTAAAACTATAGCTGGTTCTGCCTGTGCTTCGTCTGGCTTCACGACATCAAAATATTTATACATCTCAGTTTCTGCTACTTTCTCAACGATTTCCTGCGTTCACAGCAACATTAAATACCCATTGTGCAGCTGCAGAAACTGAAAAGGCACTGAGCTTACCTGCTGGAGGACTGGTATTACTGGTGGGTCAGTATTTTGGAGGTAGTGAATCACCAGCACATTGCAGGCATACGAAGACAAACCACCTCGTGATGCGCCACTGATACAAGAAATCTGGAATCAGGTAACATGCCTTATTAAACTGCTCAAGAAAGAGCACTTGGTAAACAATATTATAACCCCACTGCAGCGGGTGGCAATCAGTCACGTTTGCGAATCGACTTTTTGAAAAAATACCGTACGCCAAAGTAAACATTACACTACCCTTTATACACATCTTTTTATTACCCTACGTTTATCCACTAACACCTCCGAATTGCACCATGTAACAGCGATATCGTCCAGGCTTCACTGCGTGACGTGCAGACGCATAATATTGGTGGAGTCGGTAGTGACTTCACTGCTTTGAAATTAGTTTCGATGAAAGATTACAGAACATATATGGGTGCAGGTGGGAGGAAGAGGCGTTCCCGTATTTGTATGGCAAGAACGTTGAGTGAAATTTGAGCAAAAAAAGATGGGTGACTCATCAGCAAGTATGTGTCTGGCAGTGTAAGCGACATGGTAACAAGGTTTGTTAAAGGACCCCTAAACAACCCAGAGATTTAGCATGAGTCTACAATGAAAACGTAGCACCACGGCTTTTGGTCATACCTAGTACACTCTAGCTCGTTTCGCCCTTTTCGTTCGTCGGCTCGTCTCTCCTCCTGACCGAGTGTTCCGTGCGAGGAGGAAGAGCGGCAGGCGCACGTGCAATAAGCGTCAAATGAAACCCGAACAGCGGCAAGTTTTCGCGATGGTTTTGTGCTCACCAACCAGTTATCACCATCGAAAAGCGCACGCATCTTGTTCGGCAGATCTGTGCATATATGCGTACCTGTGCATGGCGATAAGTGGACAGTGCGCTCCATACCATTGCGAACGCTTGCCGCGGTTCTGGTTTCATTTGACGCTGATAGTGCCTGTGAGCGGACAAACTGATTACTCTCCGATGACATGCTGATGTCACTGCCAACATCTGAGAGAATTAAAAGTGCCGAAGGAGGAGGGACTATTAATTGAAACTTCTGGAACCCACGGCTCGTCGCGCTGCAGTTTGACATTGTTGATCGTGGCGGAATTCTGAACACGATGCACACGTTTGCATAAAATGTTAGAATTGAGTGGAGGTGCTTTAGGGGCCCATTAAGCGAATCGTCATAGGAGCAGAAATTAAACTGGATGGCAGCTGTAGAAAACAGTTGTTGATTTGTGGGGTTTAACGTCCCAAAACCACCATGTGATTATGAGAGATGCCGTAGAGGGCTCCGGAAATTTCGACCACCTGGGTTTTTTAACGAGCACCCAAATCTGAGCACAAGGGCCTACAACATTTCCACCTCCATCGGAAATGCTGCCACCACAGCCGGGATTCGATCCCGCGACCTGCGGGTCAGCAGCCGAGTACCTTAGCCACTAGACTACCATGGCGGGGCAGAAAACAATTGTTTCTGAGTAACTACAGTAAGGGTATAGACAAAAAAGCAAAAATATATTTTATGATCATTGAAGGGAAACCGCTTTGCTTCTTAAAGGGAGGTTGGGTCTACTTAGAAGGCATAATTTTACATTTAGATTAGGTGAACAAGAAATGACTTTCCCTTTGCTGTACATGCGTGTAAAGTCTAACAAACAAAAAACAGCTATGCATATTCAGTTGAAGATCGAAATATACACTTTGGTGGTTAATCTACATGAAGCCTTGAATTTCAGGGACAACATTGGAAAAGTAAAGAAGTCTGCGATAAAAAAAAGCAATGGACGACTGCCAAATTCGTGTCCGAGTAGTAGGCAGAGAGCAAGAAAAAAGAGTAGGCGATCTAGCTCGTTTTTGACGCTAGATTGCCAAGTTCCTATTGCAAAGAAAGCAATAATATTGAACCAGAATGTTCAGGTGAATAACCAATCGAAGGGCTTCAAAACATCCTTAGGTTTTATTTTTTTCCCTGTTCTGTCTGCGGAGACACGATGGTCATTCTTGGCCTCGATTCAGAAAGGGTCTTCAAAAAGTGGCTCATACGTATATGTACTCTAGACGCGATCAGGTTGGAGGGCCACAAATCACACTGGAAGATACATATTAGGGTGTTAACATCAGCCAGATGCGAAGTCTTCACGGTTTATTCTCTCTATGCGCTACAGGTAAAGTGATTGAAGCTAACCATAACCACGGTTGTACTCTAGATAGGCAGGAGAAACCCAATGAACTCTGTTGACTTGAGATATTGTCCATTGCGGTAGGGCTGGCTTCATGATGCTGCACGACGAACGTTAAAATCGGAGTGCAATATTTTGTGTTGTCTGGCTCTGATATGTGGAGAACGCTGATAGTGCACACCATAAGAACAAAAGTGTCCCTTCCGCTGAGCCTCAAAATCACGTTAGTACTCCTTAAGAACATGCTCCGAAAGTAGCCGTCTTTACAGCACCACACAGACTGCAGATTAACGGAGGAAGCAACTGCTTCATGTGAAGATCCACGACTGGTTTGGTCAACTGCGGGATGTCAGAACACTTACCAATTCATCAATGTTGTTAAAGAAATAGACCTTGCACCCATAGACGAGTTTTGGCTCCTGTTGACCCAACTGCAATGCAGAAGATTGTCGCCCTAGAACATCACACAACTCAGCACTGAATATCTTGGTTGGAAAACGCACAAAAAAGAACAAGACAGAGCAAGCGGTGGGGGCAAGATAGGCAATTCGTTAGCATCAACAACCCGACCACCAAATATCTGCGTCATAGTAGAAACAATATTATTTAAAGCTTGCACATCTGTAATATTGATGTCATGCGGTCACTTCAGACCTTGATCGGGCTTTATTCGAATGGAATTTCTTGAACGTGATTGGCACCTTTGCACAAGTTCCGGTAGGAAGCTAATCACTGTTGAAAAATGTCACGTTGATTCGGCTTAATGGTGACCACAATTGCACTATGTGGCGCATAGCACACCGCCATGGGCATCAGAGAATCTAAGCATGTGACCTGGATGTTTTGATCAATTTATTTCAAAAAGTATTAACAGTTGTCATCAACAATTCAATAAACTTGTTACAAAAATTCAAAGGTTGTATTTGAAAACGAGACACAAAATGTATTACCAAAAAATACCTCCAGGATCATGATGCACTTTTTTACAGGTCTTCTGAATCATCAAGCCGTGATTAGGATCGAATTTCTCTGCTGCACTTGACTGTCGGCTTATTGTGCAAAACAACCCCAATCCACATCGAGAATCCATCTTGTCATGTCCGGCAGACATGAAATGGTGCTCAATGACTGTCACAAGCATATAACACCTAGAAATACACTATCCTGTAGAATTTGCCCACAGCACTAAGCCAACAGTGCTTCACATGAACATATGCGTAAAAAAGCTAACTATTCGATGCAAAAGCAACATTCAGAGAAAAATACAAACGTAATACAGGCAAACACTTAGCAGACTAAAGAAAATACTATGTGCTCATCAAGTTCAAATGTATAAATAACAATAAAAAATTTAACGAATGTGGGCGAAAGGTCATCAATTGCTATTTTTCTCACGTGAAAGTAGTTTTTAACCATTCAACTCTCTGCTTTCTTGTTCATATTTTCGTTTTGGTTAAAACTATAGCTGGTTCTGCCTGTGCTTCGTCTGGCTTCACGACATCAAAATATTTATACATCTCAGTTTCTGCTACTTTCTCAACGATTTCCTGCGTTCACAGCAACATTAAATACCCATTGTGCAGCTGCAGAAACTGAAAAGGCACTGAGCTTACCTGCTGGAGGACT